TTGAATTATTTTTTTTTGCGATTTCCTTTTTCGCGATTATCTCGGAAACTATAAGAGATAGAGCCTTAAAACCTATTCCATTCGATTCCTGAGGAAATTTGGGTTCCGTATAGGCAGATGGACGGCTCTGACTTGCGTTTTTCCACTTCCTATACCCTATACCAGATAAATTGAATTATTTTTTTTTGCGATTTCCTTTTTCGCGATTATCTCGGAAACTATGAGAGATAGACCCTTAAAACCATTTGTGGGTCACTATAGGAAGGTGGACGGCTCAGAATTACGTTTCTCCACGTCCTGCACCCTATACAAGATAAATTAAATTAATTTTTTTTGGCCATTTCGTTTTTCGCGATTATCTCGGAAACTATAAGAGATAGAGCCTTAAAACCTATTCCATTCGATTCCTGAGGAAATTTGTGTTCCCAGTAAGCAGATGGACGGCTCAGAATTGCATTTTTCCACTTCCTACCCCCTATACCAGATAAATTAAATTTTTTTTTTNGAATTGCATTTTTCCACTTCCTACCCCCTATACCAGATAAATTAAATTCTTTTTTTGGCGATTTCGTTTTTCGCGATTATCTCGGAAAAATTCAGAAAAACGTTTGTATCATTTTTCTGAATAATCTACGACTGTTTTTGAAGCTCTCAATGGTTTGTACTTGGTCTCATTATCATGTACAGTAAATTGTTCCGTTTGTACTGCGATGGGAGTGGAAGTACGGAAGATGAGACGTACCCACATCAAAACTTCACGAACGACATATGGAATCCATTACAATGATTTTACGGTTGATAAAAATGGAATCAGATGATTTGATTAGAATAATAATAATAATAATAATAATGAATAATTTTCGTTGGTACAAACGAGTACTAACGATTTAGAAGCTATCTGTATGTTTTCCTGACGTCCTTCATACATTTAAGATTTTAGAAGCGGGTAAAGTATTGAAGGGGTTGATAAATGAAATGGAAAAATATAGTACATACAAGTACTATCCATGCTGAATCCTTGCTCGTGAAAATTTTTTCCGCACCTTCATTTCCGACGCTGCACGATTTTTTCCGCCCCCCTTACGTCTAGCGATGCGCGGTACAAACGAAAATGAATGTGGTACGTTCAGGTACTCACTGAGTACAATCGATACTATAAGAAAAATAATCGATTTATCAAACTTCGACTCCAAGTTCACACAGCTGAAAAACGAATGTGCCAAAAAAAATTAAATTAATTCATCTTGTATAAGGCCTAGGAAGTGGAAAAACGCAATTCTGAGCCGTCCACTTGCCTATAGGGGACCTAAATTTGGTTTTAAGGCTCTATCTCTCATAGTTGTCGAGATAATCGCGAAAAACGAAAATGCCAAAAAAAATTAATTTAATTCATCTTGTATAGGGTGTAGGAAGTGGAAAAACGCAATTCTGAGCCGTCCATCTGCCTGTAGGGAACCCAAATTTCCTCAGGAATCGAATGGAATAGGTTTTAAGGCTCTCTCTTTCATAGTTTCCGAGATAATCGCGAAAAACGAAAGTGCCAAAAAAAATTAATTTAATTCATCTTGTATATAGTCCACACGCAATACCCCCTTCCCGTGTGCACTTCTAGTGCGGTAAGGTTTTGAGGTGTTTTCTTATGTTTTCGGGTATGAGAAATCCGATCCAGTGGTATTTTTTATGTAAGTGCGTGCAATTAATAGTTATAAACAAATTAAGTGATTTTTTTGATGATTTTTTTTCATGGGAAACATTGGCAAATAGAAGAAAATGTTCATGAAAAATGTTGTTCCTTTTTGAAAAAAGAAAGGTTTGATGAAAATTGTGGTGCGAGGGGCATTTTGAAGCGAAAATCACGAAAAACGTAGTTTTTCTTCAATGTATGGGGTAAAATGGGTTGTGTAGAGAATGTTTCTTCGTTTTTAAGTACTCCATGAGATGTCAAGGGTTGCTCAATAGTTATTTCCATCAATCGAAGAGTTTCACATTTCATTTGGGTCTTTCCTTAGGCCCGTATCAAATTGATTTCCCCAAGGGCTTTTTTACATTCGACAGTCGTATTCTCATGGGAGGGGAGGTCGTGCCAGCGTTCATATTCCATGAATAAATACAAAACATGACTATTTTTGACACTTGAATATTTCCATTTGTATCATTTTTTGACTACCTCGTTTGTACCCATGTACTTCCCATGCCTTTCCACTCTTTCCCCTTTTACTCATTCAAATCTACCAATCAGCCATAACTAGCCTCCCCTCCACAGGACTGTTAGACAGAGGAGGAGGGACCCTCTCTCTTTGTCTAAATTTCCCAGATCTGTGTTTTATAGGGGATATGGGGAATGCGCGGTCTAGGTATTATATGTCTATGACTGGAAATTGCGTTCGCTCCGCTATTACTTGACTTGTTCGGTAATTTGTATGAAATTGTTCCGTGCGTGTCCACCACCCAATTTCGTATGTTACTCTCTCCACGAATGGAATTCCACCATATGTTCTCTATAATGGATACACCACTTCGTAGTTCAGTCTTAGTGTCTCATTCCCCTTTCCTCCCTGTAACTCTACCTCTTGCAGTTTTCCTTGGATCTTCGCTCTTCTGCGTCGTGGATAAATTATCCCCCTTGCCAATTCTGTATGTGCCAAGACAACAGACAGGACTGAGAGTAATATGCTTTTATCGTAATTCCATTTGGTCCTGAATAATGAAGTTCGGTTTCTACTCAAGACGAATTGATGACGAGCGAGGAAGGTAATTCAGTGTCCCAGAAATAAATGTCTTTCAAGTGGAATATTAATTGCGGAGGAATTTCATTGAATTATCCATTGGATTTCAGGATTGAATGACACTCTAACCTCGAGGCGAAAATCATATGGCAAGTGTGCTAAGGTGCTACACTGTTAGAAAATTCTTGATTAAAATTTTTTAAAGAACTATCGGAAATTTTTACCATGTATTTTCACTGAAATCAAGAATTCAAAGAATTCAAGAATTCAAAGTTTTGTGGAGAAATGGATAGAAACATTAAATCAATTTTTCAGTTCTATTATTTGATGAGAAACGAAAGAAATCAGGAAAATTAAGCTAAATATATTCTTGAATTCCCAATTCATTATAGTGTATTGTTGAATTAGTTTGAGCACACTCAAATACTTATTCCCTCCCACTCCGATACTCGGTTGTGCTCTTCATCTTGATTAAACCCCGTTTCCTTCAGAATTTGTTCTTTATTATTATTTTACGCAAGATTTATTATGTGGTTTATCATAAAACGAGACTATTATTTTAAACAATAATTTTAAAAAATTCTATATATTTATTTCTTACCCTCATAAAAGTTAGAATCTATATAAAAAATCATCCACGATAAATTATCGTCAACTACTCAAATGAAAGATGTTAAAATGAGTAACTGATTACATTTGACTTCAGCATCATTTCATAACTGATTAACCCCTCACTAAATTGTCACTGACAAAAAAATGACCCGATTGATATTCAAAACTATCACATCAAAGCCTCGACTAATGAATCCCAATTAATCTCCACGAGTGCAGATATAATTATCACCTTCGTCACACCCAACGAATGCGATTTAACCCAGATAACACGTATTTTGGAGCAAAGTCAATGGCTGTTAACGAGTGGGTTAGTAATTCCACAGCTATTATGCAAATTCTGCTCACGTGTGCATGTACGTGATTGGGAGGCACTGATTGTTCAATTCTTCAAATATATCCATTGTAATCCGAAACCCCCGGTACATCATCCCAACTTAGTTTCGAATTCAATTAAGTCCCTGCAGAGAAACCCTTCGCATTTACGAGCGTAGGGGATGGGTGTATCGGTATCTGAGGATTGAAATTTCAATTATTCATTGTCTGCGGCAGATTGAATGGCTGCCTGGACAATTAATTGATAATTCATGAGTAAAAGTGTCCGGGAAATGCTCAATTCGTAGATGCACACGTACAGAAAAATTTTAAGAAAAATCTAGAGAATTCACTAGAAAAGTCTATTGATTTCTATCAATTTTGGCGGATTTTTCAATGAAAGGAGGGGAAGAATGAAGTGGGAAAAACTTAGGAAATCTATGTGGAGGAATTTATACAGGAAATATCTCAGTAGAAACAGTAGAGAAATACGAAATTCTGCTGATTTTTTTCTATTAAATAGTTCTTTGAGGAATGAAATTTCAGTTATTCATTGTCTGCAGCAGATTAAATGGCTGCATAGGCAATTAATAAAATAATCAATTGATAATTCATGGGTAAAAGTGTCGAGAAAATGCTCAATCCGTAGGAGCACACGTACGGAAAAATTTTAAGAATAATCTAGAAAATTCACTAGGAAATTCTATTGATTTCTATCAATTTTGACGGATTCTTTCAATGAATGGAGCGAAAGAATAAAGTGGAAAAAAATTTTAAAAAATTATGTCGAGGAATTTATATAGGAAATGTCTCAATAGAAAAATGCATGAATAAATTATGATAATTTATCTTCATAAAAGAGATAAAATAAAACAATACCTTCATATTTTAAAAAACAATTTCATTATTTATTACAGTGATGTATGCGCAGAGTACAATTGTGCAGAAAAATTATTTTCAATGTTCTCGGTTTTTTAGCTCCGGTGTCACATGATTCATTCGGGAATTCTTGACCTAATTCAAAAAGTTTTGAGATACTGTACATTTTTTATTTGTTGCATCGTTCAAATGGACAGAGTTAGATTTATTATTCTCAAAAGAATTAATGGATAGATTTATCAAATGGAAAAAAATACTGTTACATTTTCAGATGGATTGCAATGTCCTGGTCCATTGAGACAGATGTCAGTAGTGAAAAAAATACACGTACGAAATAATTCAATAGAAAAACCTAACGCTAGAAAATTCTGTTATTTTTTTATTGAAATTCGATTAGTTTTTCGTTAATTCTTCAAATGAATAGAAAATTTAATAGAAAAAAATAATCATATAATTTAATAGATAAAAATATTTCATAGAAAAAAATTGTACATTTTAATTTTTTAGAATAATTTATAGCATTAATGTATTTTTTCTTTCTATAAATTTCGTGACTTGAAATTGTACAAGTTTTTAAAATAGATTTTCTTCTTTAAAAAAAAACCAGCGAAACTATTGAAAATTGAGCTGACGAATTTCTAAGAAATAATCCGAACAAAATATCTTGAGCAATCAAATAATCCTCAATTATCAATAATGAATTAACAAAAAGATGTGAATCAAAGAATTTCAGCCACTGAATTATTGCGTACATGCAAGAGTAAGGAATGAATGGCACACAGTGTTTAGTAGTTAATTACTAATTACGCAACGAAGAGTAGAGCATCAGCAACATTTATTTCCGCCTTGAGTCCATAAATATCGAGATCCCACCGCAAAAGGTCTGGCCAACAGTAATCGAACATCAACATGTTATACTCAATGTCTCTTAATTCCTCCATTATAATATCATTCAACTCCGTTAATCAGTAATTAATTTATCGCCTCGGCCGTCATAAAAAATTTCTCATTTCTTAGTCATTATCACCACCGCTGAATTTTTAATATCACAAGTATACAATACAACACGCAGCTATCACATTGAGAATATCCCCCATCACTCATTCGATTCTGTGTATTCTCACAGTCTCTTTTAATTGATCTTCCCGGAAGTGGGTACGATCGTCAATTGTTTCGTTGATTCATAAATTTTATCTTGTTCCCGAGGCATACTTGCCAAATGGAGGGTAACGCTACCGTCGTCGTGTTTACGTTGAGAATAGGATGAACTGCTCAAATACGGAACATGGAGAAATATCAAGTGGGAACGTACGAAACAAGTAGGAAATTGTTTTTGTCACTGTCACTACTTTTTGCCAATAAATGAGCAATTTGCTTCCGAATGGAATTTTTGTGGCGATGTATTTTTAATTGAATTCAATGATTCATTCAGCCAACATTTCTCCAACGTTAGCAGCCAACATTACCTCAATGCTGGCAGACGAAAATTACTCCAACATCGGTAGCCGAGATAGCCCCAACATTGGTAGCCAACATTATCCCAACGTTAAGAGCCTGCATTGTCCCAATGTTGACAGCCACCATTGCCTCAACGTTGGCAGCTAAAATTAGCCAGAATTTGTAGCCAATATTGCCCGAACGTTAAATTTTTTTACCTTTCTCTGAATATTGGTTTCAAAATAAATTTTTTCAACAACAAACTCGGTCAAGATGGAATTGGGAAGAGTATTTTAGATCACAATGGGATTTATATAAGCAATCATTTTTCAGTTATCGTCGAAAAAAATCGATCACATACATACACCTACACAAATACATACGCACATTCGGACATGGTCGAAAAGTAGCATATTCGAGCTCCTGAAGCCAAAATTAGTTATCCTGACACACAAAAAAATTGGAATTTCGAATTTAACGTATACAATGCTTCAATTCAGAAGCAAAAACTTCATTAAAAAGTTTAGTGAATTTCTCAGAAAATTCGATTAAACTTCTATTGAAAATTGTGTAATTTTTTTCGCCGATTCTATTGAAGAATTGCAGCAGCGCGTCGTTTTTTTTCATCGCCATTGAACATCTTAGCGGTCGCAATTATTTCAGTTCAGAAAATTCTGATAATACTTTGTTTATATTTCGCTCAAGATTTGGAAGACGCTGCATAAACAGATAGATATTTTGGCTCTGCTTTCAACAACGAAACATTTGGCTCAAGAGGCTGATGATTCGCGCGGCGGCCATGCCATTTCAAGATGAGCATCTCTTAGAACAGCGCCAAAAACACAGAGATTTTGTTATAGAATTCGAGTGGAAATCCAATAGAATGTTCATAGACTTCCAATAGAAATCAAATAGAACTTCTTAAGGAAAGCGCTATGTTTTTCTATTCACTTTTTTATACGTGAAACTGTAATACAGTCCAGTCTCCGTATAAGATACTCGATAAAGGGGCTAGAATTGAGTGGGAATGGAGTTGAAATATCGCAGAAATTACTGAAAATATATGCATCTGTGATCTAGAACTTAATTGCACATCAATTGAATTTCAAAACGAATGGGCACTCGTTAAATTCCATTAAAAAAATTGAACGCATCGGTCATAAAACTTGGTAAAATATCTATTTTTTACACGTATTGCACCATGTGTTTTACGTCCATTTTTTAATGAATAGATAGACAAAACAAAACTAAATTCCACCCAATTTTTATGAAAACCAAAATTCCAATGAAAGTCTTAATTTTGCCTCGCAGGCCCCTCTTAACAAACTAACTTATTCGTGTTTTACATCAGGAATCGTACTCAAATGATCATGAAAAATGGAAATCATCTAGTATCTTGTATGAAGAATATCAAATCAAAATATTTTCCCATCTAAGCGCAAGTAATATAGGGAATACGTTATTTTCAGAATTTTATTCCCCTGTGGTCCCTGCGGTATCTTGTACGAAGATTGGGCTGTATCTCGAAATTATTGTACACGTCAAAGAATACTTTTTCCACGAGCATCGAACCCTATTTTTCACCACAATGTGTGGAAAGTGGGAATTTGCGTACGAAGCGTACGTAAAATGTCACTTTACGCGCAAGTGTTTAACGACATCGTTCGGTACAGAAACCGTGTATCATCTGAAATGTTCCATAGATGAGCAGTTCTCCCGCTTAAATCGCGATCCTGTCAGATTAAATTTTCTCAAATCACGAATTACACATTAGTAATAGCCGTGTCATCTGCAGGACCGCTTGCTTGACGCTATACACTCAACGTGGTCTGTCCCACATTATCAACATGCCCAGACGTATACTCCATGTCTTGATTATTATTAACGCGGTTATTATGACCGGCGTCGCCACTCTGTATGCTAAAGTGACGGTAGGAAATGTACTCGGGTGGCACAGTCTGCTGATCCCTCTTCACCGCCTCCCTCTGTTTCTTGACCTTAAGATAGCCAAGAACGGAGACGAGGAGTATAAAGACGACAAAGCCCATGCAGCACCCCACAATTAAGCCTAATCTACGAGTTAAAACTGTTTTAGCACCACTAGAATCACTCATCGCTGCACCATCACCACTGACCAGTATGACCCGGGGTTTTTCGGGGGTTTTTACCTTTGTACATAGACTTGTCGAGGAATCCATCATTTCTGGGAGTGACGAGGGGTCGAGGAGATCGTTTTTGCTCGAGTTGAATTGTCCTAGGGGGGTTTTACCGTCGGCCTGCGGTAACCAGTTACCAAGGCCCAGGACGCAGACTAAGTACTCGGTGTTGGAAGACAATTTTTCTAATTTCACGGAGCGAGACGTTGGTTCCAGGATCATTGCGTGGATCTGTAATGATAAATTAGGGGAATTGAATTCGATTATTAGTGATTCAGGTGATCGAAGAGATTTGAAATCTGGTTGAAGCTACACGAAATCATTGACTTTAATAGAAACCACTTTAGAAATCATTTTAGAGGTCAATCATCATCAGTCAAATAGGAGAGATTTATTTATAAACAACAAATGTTTAAAAGAATAATCATTCTGTGAAAAATGCAATTTTCATGATTGCAAATGGTTGAATCAATAGTCTGTACCAAACTCTAAGATACTTGGATATCTTCACGTCCACGGATGTTTCCAGAATAATTTACGACCCCATCTCCCTTCATCACAAGAGTACACAATTATTATTGCACCGAAAACATCCCAAGAAGATGATAAAAGTTAAATGGCAATATCCCGAGAAGGCTGAGAATTAATTCAAGTTGATAAGCTGTACAAACTGGTAAATTTATCAAACATACACAATTCAGAGTACCAACTTTAATACGTGTTTGAAACTACAGGGAGCTTACTTCTCCAAAGTATCTTCCTAATTCCCGGTTTCATAACTAAATGGTAGCTCCTGCTAATACCATTTTAATTCGCTTATTCATTAAAACGGCAGTAAGAGCCCTATGCATATTTGAAAAACTAATCTGGTTTAGGAGATAGTTAAACGGACGGATTATATGAGAATCAACTGCGTGCCGATGGTACTTTGAATAAATTTTATAATCAATTCTCTAGTGGAGCGGTGAAACGAGTATTGATTTTTAATTTGAGAATAGTTTGGAACAGCATATTTTTGCGATTTTTTGTCACATTTTTCTTCTTTTTTCAGTTATTTCATTTTTGCGATCTATAGTTTTTTAAATACCATTTTTTTATATAAAAATTAATATGTAAGTATGAAAAAATGTTATATAATTATTTGTAGAATAAAATATCTTCATTTTATTCATTTTTACTTTCAATAACTAATTTAAATGGGCATATTTCTCCATTTTCATTCCGTGGAACATCATGATCCTAAAAATGAAAATAACGATGAAGAAAATCAAACCGATCGAATGAAGTGGAATTCAATGCCAAGTGGATTCATGCTGCAATCCTTTGAACTTTGGTAGACTCTCGCTAGTTGGACGCTCGTTAGTTGCTCTTTTTTCCCTAAGCCCCTTCGGGGGCGTCCATAAATCACGTGATCCAATTTTGGCGCATTTCTGACCCCCTCCCCCCCTGGTGATCAATCGTGACATTTCGTTGACCCCCTCCCGGCATGTTATCACGTGTGTTTTTTTTCAAAGCTCAGTATAAAAAATGATCGCATTTGAAAAAACAAAAATTTTTTTTTGTTAAAAAGACAACTCTTTTATACACGTCTAATGAATGAAAAATAATTTTATTCCAAAAACAAATCGTTAAAGTATATGAGTCATAGTTTCATCTCTTAAGTATATTAATTTCAATAGTATAATGTTTCGATATTTGATATCGATCACTCTGCAAATAGTTCCTCTTTGGAAATAGCCTTTCCAATCGTGTCTCTTTGGGAAAAGTCTTCTCCATATTAGCACGTTTCGTACAGAAGAGACTCTGAATTCATGAGTCGTCATCAATCCAAGGATTGTTAAAATATTGTTCAACACTAACAAACACTCTACTGTCAGGGTTCAACAATCCGTTATTGTCCAGTTGAATTATATCTTCGTTTTGTTTATCAGCCAACGCATCAAATGTATTTACCGAATAATTTCTTGGGTATTTGAACAATAAAATGCACGTGATATCCCCCAAGATCCCCCCTACCCCCTTTGTGATTATCCGCGATACCTGCTCACCCCCCCCCCCCCCCCCCCCTAAAAAGTGTCACGTGATTAACGGACGCCCCATTCTCGGACGCTCGAGTGCTGGCCCCCACTCTCGGCCGCCTTATCGCTTTCATTTATTCTCCATACGTAAACACAAAGATGCAAATAATTTGATTCGAAAATCAAACTAATCATTCCCTCTCATTTTTCTGAGAACATGAGTCGGCATTGGTTGAGGAGCGTGGGCCGGTGGAACGTTGCGAATTTCTTGGAAATGGTATGCCTACAGCCCTTTTGATGAGCAACTAGCGAGAGTCAACTGTACAATAAAATGTAAAAACAATATCGTATAAACTTTCAATTCCTTCTCGACATCCGATTAGAACTCTCATTATTTCCAAAAATTAATCACGTTTAACAACAATATGAACAATGAATGAATATTAGTCATCTGTGATGATAACTTAGCTTAACTTGACACTCATTTCACATTTCATCATTTATTATTTCCTAAATTGTGTAGTACAGCTAGTTATAATTTTGGAGTAATTTCGGAATGATTTCATGCCAGAGTGGCGCCGTGATTTCGGCAGTGAGTAGCCTCTCGTTATGAACATTATCTATGAAAAACATGGGGACAATCATAAGAAAAACTCAATGAATCCTCACCTCATCAACTTTACCAACATCACGATAAGCGACCTGATATCCATGCACCCCACTGTGATTTCGACTCTGCCACAGCACAACAGCCGTAGAATCCCTCACATCCTGCACCATAATGTTGATCACCAAAGGCTCGGAGCAGAAAGCATGTGGATCAAGGTCGAGAAACACAAGGCCGCGCAGTTCAGTCGGCTGTTCACACTTCAGCAATCCATCCTCACCATCGCTCACCCCCATCCCATCCTCTTTATCACGCTCTCTGCTCCCTCTGATGAGTTTCTGGTGATCGCGCAGCCACTCCCACAGCTCCTGTGCCTCGCAACCGCAGCGCAATGGATTCTCTGTTAACAATAGTACCCCGAAATGTTTAAACTTTGAGCGAATTAAGGATGAAGTCACTAAAGTGGAAACAGGAGAATGGAACTTTGAAATTGTCTCCGGTTCCATTATTACACCAGATTAAAGTAAACACCAGTAATATCGCATATTCACTTACCCTCAACACGTAGACTCCTTATCTGTGTCTCAAGGGGTTGAAATGCATTCAGAGGTAAATTCTCTAGTGAATTTCCACTCACGTCTAACACACGTAATTTCTTCAGGCTCTTGAATGTACCTGTCGATACTGTCGATATCCAATTTCCATATAAATATAATTCCACCAAATTATCGAGATGATTGAATGTATTTTCCCCTATCGATTGAATTTGATTATACGACAGGTCGAGTACTCGAAGTCCCTTTAAGTCCTCCGAGAAATCCTCGAGCGTCTTGAGATGATTACGTGTCAAATTCAAAAGTTTCAAGTGCTCGAGACCCTTGAGCCTCTCCTGGGGCAACAGCTCCAGGTCATTTGCACTCAAATCCAGGGTCAATAGTTTCGGGCAACTTTGAAATGCACTGGGTGACACTCGTGATATCAAATTGTTAGTCACAAAGAGGTGCAGAAGCGATGGAAACGCCTCGAAATCTTGACCCGTGATCATTGTCAAATTGGTTCTTGATATATGGATCTCCTCGAGTGATGGATACTTCCACTCCAAGCTGAACTCGTGTATTCTGGTGAGGGGATTCCCCGTAATATTGAGCCAACCGAGATTCGGCATATTTCGCGCTGACAGAGCAACAGCTGGTAGCTGACGAAATTTATTACCTGATATGTCAACTTTACGTAGTTGGTTGGCATTGATGAAGAAATTGGCTGGCAAGGCAGTGAGATGATTGTGGCTGAGATCGATGGATATTAATCTCGAGAAATTGGCATCGGAGAAACCTGACACTGACATTATGTAGTTGCTGCTTAGATCCAGCTCACGCAAGTTTCTTAATCCGTTTAGTCTGGATGCGTCGATATGCAGGATTACGTTGTTCGATAGCGATAGAAATTCTATTGTCGTGGAGTTTATAAAGACTTCGTACGGCATTTCCTGGAAACTATTGCCGTCTAACTTGACTTCGCGGAGGGAGTCGAGACCGGAGAAGAGTGAGCCAGGTAGTGAATGAAGTTGATTGTTACTTAGTAGAATTTTCCCGAGATGCTTATTATTGGAGAATGTGTCGAACGGTAGTCGATGGATTTGCGAACGCTCGACGGATAGCTGTTGGAGCGATGACAACCCATTGAGTGACTCCCCATCGATCTCACTGAAGTCGTTATTCGATATCTTAAGTATCCGCAAGCCTGGAATGTCCAGATGATCCAGAGATAGAGCTGTCAGATGATTGTCCTCCAAATTCAGCTCGTAGAGATTGGTGAGCCCTTTGAACGCACCTGCTTCAATGACACTGATCGTAGAATTCTTGAGGTTCAATGTTCTGATAGATAAGCTCTCCTGAAACATCGTGCTGTGCAAGACAGTCAGATAATTATTAGCGAGATTCAGAATTCGCAGGCGTTTCAGGGCTGTCAAAGCATACGGATCGATCTTTCTCAACGTGTTGTCCTGCAGGTACAACTCCTCCAGGTCATGCAGCTCCGAGAATGTATTACCGGTCACGTGGCTCAACCGGTTCATACTGAGTTCCAGGAATTTTAACGCCTGCATAGGCTGAAATGCTGTGTCTTCAATTCTTGAGATTGAGTTGTTGGTCAAATACAGTCGTTCGACGACCACAAGGTCCCGGAATAGGGGAGCCTGGAGACGTGTCATTCTGTTGTGGCCCAGCCACATGATCCGCACGGATGTTTGTCCTCGCAATGAGTCATTGTGCAGGACTCCAAGACCGTTGCTGTCTAGTTGGATCGATACAAGTGAACCAGCGGAATCAGCGGAGATTTGGAACACATCGCCGAGTACAGCTAACAAGTTTCCTTGGAGATTGATGTGTTGAAGGTTGTGAAGGGACTTCAATGCACCTGTTTCCATATCGGTGATCACATTATTCTGGAGATGCAGCTCGAGGAGAGTTGGCAGAGGTGCGAACACTCCACGTCGAACCTCAGTAATCTGATTATCTTGAAGCCGTAGTTCTCTAAGCAGCTTTGACTTGGCGAAAGTACCGACTTCCAAGTCACGTATTTTGTTGCCGTCGAGCGACAGTGTTGATAAGTTATCGCAGTAATCGAGGAAGCCCCGAGGGATTTTTTCGATGAAGTTGTCACTCAGGTGGAGCTGTGCCAATTGGCCGAGGGTCGCCAGTCCTCTCGAATCGATCCGTCTGATGGCGTTATGCTGGAGATAGAGGACGGAGAGACTCACGGACTCTGAGAAGGCATCCGCGGGGATCTCCAGGATGTTGTTATCGGCGAGGAAGAGTTCTTTGAGTTCTGGCAGTCGAGCGAAGATTCCTCGGATGTAGTGAAGGTGATTGTGGCTTAGGTCAATGGACTTCAGTTTGGGATTGGCACGAAAGGTTGCTACGTCCAGGAAGATGATCTTGTTGTGGCTGAGGTCGATGGATTCGAGATGGCTCAGTGATATAAATGCGTCTTTATCGACCGAGTTGGCAGAGCTGTGAGACAGTGAGAGGGTACGAAGTACTGGACAGCAGCGGAAGCAGTTCAAGGGAATGACTTCGAAATTATTGCTACTCAAGTCGAGATAGTTTACGGTATCCAAGCGAGAGTAGCCATCCTCAGGTAAGTGAGATACGTCGTTCCAGGCTAGTCTGAGAGATAATAGATTCTCAAGTCTCCGCAACGATGTCATCGGGAAAATCCTGATTTTGTTTTCCGATAGGTCCAAGTCAGTGAGACTCGTCTCCAGCCCCGCGAAAGCGTCCTCCGATATTTTGCCGATCTCATTTCCCTTCAGGTTCAATTTTATCAGGGATAAGCCAAAGAAACTGTTCCTCGGAAGTTCGCGAATTTGATTCGCTTCGAGGTCGAGGCTAGTCAGACCAGTCAGAGGGGTCAATGCCTTCTGTGGAACAGTCTGCAGTTGGCTGGAGACTATACCCAGGGATTGGAGGGTTGTTCCCAAGCGATCGAACGCGTCTTCATCAATCTCTCGTAATCCGGAGTGTGATATTTGGAGATGTTTTATCTGGGAACCAAGGGGGAATATCGTTGCCTTGAGCTCCTCCACTTTTCGGTCCAGCTCGTAGACACTCAGTGATTGAACGATTACTTCTGAAAGTAAAAAATCGGTTCAGTGGGTGACTGCGGGTTTTCAGTAATGGAATGCCGATTTTCTTCAGATAATGAAGTCTATTTAACTCATTAATTAACTAATTATTATTCAATTAAGGGCTTTGTATACTGTTTAGGGGTATAACTGGAATCTGCTACCTATCCAGGTAATGGGATGATACGAGCATCGGAGTCTTATGTGGTATAGTAAACAGAGGGTATGCCCTTTTGAGCATAAGCGTGATTACAGTCCAAAAGATAAGTTGGGTGATAATCCTCAGGGATTAGATTAGTGCATCATGGGTAATAATTAGAGGTTTGGTTACTACTTCGTTAATTGTTTCATATAGAGACATTGAGAGTGAAAAATTAGTGTCTGAACTTAAGACATTAAGACATGCTTTCTGGACATTCCAGGTGTCTTACTCGAGAATATTTGTTTCGAACTTATGATGTCTCATTTGTCTTTCCAAATACTTCATTCATATTTTCTTAATGATCGATCGTGGTGTATGAAAAGATCCAATCGTTTCAATTGAATATATTAAATCAATTGGAAGAAAGTGCAGCAGTTACGGATCATGTCTTATGATTCTATGTCTTAATGGCGTTAATGTTTTGTCGTGACTAGTGACTGAATAGTCTTCGAATGTCTTCAATTGAGGCAAAAGTGTTTTAAATGGGATAAATTGATTTTAAAAATCAAGACCCCTTTCGGGCACAAGCGTGATTACAGTCCATAAGATAAGTTGAGTGATAATCGTCAGGGATTAGATTAGTGCATTATGGGTAACAATTAGAGGTTTGGTTACTACTTCGTTAATTGTTTCATATAGAGATATTGAGAGTGAAACATTAGTGTCTGAACTTAAGACATTAAAATATGCTTTCTGCACATTTTAGGTGTCTTACTCAAGAATCTTTTGTTTCGAACTTGTGATGTCTCATTTGTCTTTCCAAATACTTCATTCATATTTTTTTAATGGTCGATCGTGCTGTATGAAAAGATCCAATCGTTTGAATTGAATTTATTAAATAAATTGGAAGAAAGTGGAGCAGTTACGGAACACGTCTTATGATTCCATATCTTAATGGGGTTAATGTCTTGTTTTGACTAATGACTTAATAGTCTTCGAATGTCTTCAATTGAGGCAAAAGTGTCTTAAATCGGACAATTTGATCTTAAAACCTTTCGACTTGGCAGAACCGATCACATTAGCGAGTGCGGTCTTCAGTGAGTCCTCAGTGGCCCCAGGACACTCCAAAAACAGACCGTCCTCGAAATTATAGCACGGACACCCCGGCATTTTTTCCGATGCCGGACACTCCCCTCCACTACCCTCTTGCATCGTCATCCATACGGCTATTAGCACCGAATAGATGATGCGACAACTGATTGTAAATCGCTGACAGTGAGGACGACTCCATCCAGCCGAATCGCACCCCTTTCGCCTGGTTCGCAGCCAACTTTTCCGCGTCATCGTACTTGAAATGCACGCGACTGGGGCATTCTGTGGCTATCCTGCTCTCCTCAGCTGTATCTGGAACAAACGGAGCGAACAAATCTCATTAACAAACAGGGCAGAGGGATTAGGACTCGGCGAGCAACAGGGAAATTTCCTGCTGTAGGATTTTCCGTCTTTGTTCGGACACCGCAGGATGGTAAGAGAGTAAAGACGAGTTTGCAATGTTCACCAATCCTCTCTGTATCGTATTTATACTGGCGAGGGAGCTCGGAGCTTTATGGTGAGTGCTTCCAAATCCCTATTGGCCTCATTCTCAGCCGTTGCCCTTGTATTTTGAGGTGGAAGTAGGGGAGGGAGCTCTTCAACATCTGATTTAATTATATCATTCGGTAATTTAATCAGTGACTCTGGTATTTGTTGCATTCTAGGATTCATCAGTATTTTGGTACACTGACAACGATGCCTTGTTTTCTGTCAGATTCAATATTTCTTTTTTTAATTCATTGTTTATCATCATTCTCATTGCGGAAAGCAATACGAGTGATGAGAATCATACAATATTTCTCAATTTATATTTGGAGTATTTTGTAGTGTTCACAAATATCTCAATGAGTACAAGTAAATTGATAATTATTTTTATATTAAACTCTCTATTTTTTTGAGGGATATTAAATCAGTAGCGAAGTGGTAAAACGGTTTAAGTCATTTTTACTATTGGCCAGCTTTCAATGAGCAGCCCTTCGCGCTCGGGATTTTTAAACTTACAAAACTTGACACTCTTGTTTGTTTGCAACGAAGCTATCGGGAAATACCCGATCATTTTGAAGCTCTCGGGGTATTACTACTGAATATCTTGGAATGTAAGGGAGATAGCAAACTTTTTTTATGACTTTTTTTACAGAGCCGATTGAGACCTACAACAAATATAATTAGAAAAATTTCGCTATCTCTCTTAGATTCAGGAATATTCCTCAGAAACTCAACTGGGAAATAAGTCGACTTACACCGTTTTACCATTTCGCTACTGAAATTAAAAAATGAATGTATTTGAAGTGTGCGAATTATTCTTTACATGAGAACATCCTCGCTTAGCTGCTATGGCTCATGATTTATTGTCTATCACAGCATCTAGTGTACCAGTGGAAGGATTATTTTCGAGAGCGGGTTTAGTTGTACGCAAACTACGGAGTCGACTAGAGGATAAAAATGTCAGGGCGCTGGTATCCCTGAATTCTTGGTTTAAATGTGCTCTATCTCCTTTAATTAAGAAAAAACTGAGAACAAATTTGACAAAAACTGGACGTTTTATTCAAAAATATTACAGATTCTACATAAATAATCGTTTAAATATGTTTGTCAAGGGCCAGAACGGTCAACTCTCCAAGAACTTTTAAAGTTTATGAAGATAAAAATAAATATTTTTCGTTATTTCAAGGTATTTTAAGGTAATTAATTTATCTCTCCTCATAAATCTCACTCTCTCGTCCATTTTCTCTCGTCTCTCGATCAATTTCTCTCGTCTCGTCTCGTCTCTCGCTTGATAGTAAAAATCGATATCTCGTATCATATCGTTTCGTCTCTCGCGGCATCTCTTCGAATGTTACTTGAGAGATGGCGCAAGGTCATAGAAAACAATGGACAATATTTCCAAGATTAAGTTCGTTGTCCTGTATTTTTTTATATTAAATAAATTTACTGAAAAATCTGTAAAAATTAAGTCACACACCTAATACAAAAGATTCGTGGGCCTGTAGAGCCCGATAGAGCCCAATGCAGTGCTTGTTAAAATACATTTTAATCAAACTGAAGCAGAAGATGGAACGATAATATTTATATTTGAGTGTTAGATTTCGACCATCCGACAATGGCACGAAATTTACAATTTTTGATGGGGCTTCTGGTCGATGCATAACCCTCAAATGATTCAATGCCTGGATGATCGATGAATACGAAGCGTGCGAGTTTCACGAAGCTATTCTAGGGTCTACCTCCCACTGAACAACGAAATTGAATTTCCTCATGGGGTAACCGAACCTGCGGTGGACGAGCACTAAATCACTTGTGGTATTGCATGAGTGATGCAGGTTGTGTACCATTAATGGAGTTTATACCACTCATGATTGAATTTTAGGGGATTCATTTCGAGAGTTTTGGAAAATAATGGGTGGATAAACGCCAACTGCAGTGAATTTAAGTTCCGGGGATTTTTATCATTCATTGGGTATGTGGAAAAGAATGCTCTACTTCAGGAAAACTAACATGGAAAATCTACAGGGGATTCTGATTCTTATCTCTTGGATCGTTGCTATCAGGTGTCTCAAACATCTCGTTCTCAAGGAAAGCGGATATACTTTACATTTTGCCGAAGAATCCGATCTTGTTGAGATGTAGATTGTTCTAATGAGTCTCAGTTGGTTTTTTGTTTTGTAGCTTTTTTACTTTTCTAATCACCAGGATGTATTATTATAAATATTTTATATATAAATTAATAACAAGTGGGAAATTGCTCGTGTATTGCATATCGCATAGTTATTTTTGCTAGTAAATTAACCATATGCTTCCGAATGATTATTTTGCAAATCGTTTCCTTTTATCATGTATAATTTATTGTTTATTTCATTTTATTAAATTGAATGAGATTTTTTTAAAACTATTTTTGTCAGATTTTCAACTTGATTAAATGTTATCATCATTGTTGTTTTTATTATTCCTTTCTTCTATACAACCCATTGTCTTTGTTACGGTTCTATCTCTCCTCTCAGCCCTTTGATAAAATGTTAATCGAAAATTTCTTTTATACATGTTTGAAAGGATTTGAAACATCACAGAAAGCTCATTTTCAAGGAAATTCATAAAAAATTCGAAATTTTCACCAATCATTATAAAAATTAAATCAACCAATATAGTTATCGTAATCATCTTTCAACTTTGACTTAATGGAATTAAAACAAACATTTTAAGCTATCATTGAATTCATTTGAAGTATGACATTCAAAGATATCTCCGGAAGTCTGATTTTCAAAAAATACAAATTTTTTGCAAATTTTCACATAAATGAAAATAACAATAATTGCTATCGCCTTCATCTTAGAATTCGATCAAAACGACGTCCAAACAAATTTTTTAAGCCATCATTCAATCAAATCAGAACATTTTTTAGTTATCGTGGGACAACCGATTTTCAAAAAAATCCGAAAATTGAAAAAAATACTTGATGGATTAAATTTTAACTAATGGCGATCGATAGGGCCTAACAATACCTACATGAAAAAGATTCAATTCCATCCATTCATTAGTGAACAATGGAGGAAAACCTCTGTTACATACGTATACACATACACACACGTACGGACGAGGTCTAAAAATTGTATTTTCGAACTTTTTGAATTATACTGGGTCTATATAATACAAAAAATCCAAAAATTAAATTTGAACGATTACAAAGTTCCCACTCAGAAACATAAAACAATACACAAATAAAGAAATGAATGATCAAATAAATGAATAAACATATTTATTCACGTTTTCATGTTATCACATAACCAACCAGCTTGGATTTGAACTCGGAAGCTTTCTCATTTCAGTGAAGTGTCTAAACTATCACGCCAGGTCATGACTGTTCCTCTCTTTTCTCATCACTCTCTGTTCATGAATCCTTTGGTCTTCCCTGTGTTGCCACAGAGCCACCCATGCTAATGAGAATGCAAATGACGCACAAACCTGAGCTGGGTACGTGTAACCAACTACGCGAAAGGGTTCGTAAAAAGGAAAGTGACGCTGAGAGCCTTTGTAAACTTGTGGACGATGCAGCCACACTGCGACATTCTTCCCACTATTTCATTTTAAAATATTCAATTCGTCCTGCAGTTGATTCACCCCTTTTGATGCGTGCCGGAATGGTGGGGCGAATTTTATAAGTATTTCAGGGGTCAAAGGAGTATGGGGATTTCAACTCTAAATCGACTAGTTTTTACCTTTCTAACACGCAAAGTCATTCTCACGCAAGGGAACTGATTCATATTGACACGAACGTAATATCTGGATTATTTTTCTTTCGCTGGTTCCATCGGGTAGGTGTTTGGGAGAAAATAAGTTTACACTGGGTAATTTCATCTGGACGATTGTCATTTTGACAATTCCATTATTCTCTTCTGCAATTTCGTTGCACTGCTAGGTAGGGGAGCTGGCGCATGTACCCGAGTGGAAATTGCTTCAGGCCCACCTGAAGGCCGATCAGAACTTGATCAGGTTTTTGTAAGGTTCGACTGATCCGGTGATTCCTGATGAGAACCTGACCAAGTTCTGGTCCAGCAGATCGGATCCGAAACACTACAGGCGGGTTCAGATCAAGTTCTGATCAGGTAGGTACGATCTCACCCTGAGGTCGGCTGCCTGACCCCAATTTGATCAAATTCAGATTTGATGTCTTTGATCAGCATTTGAACGGGGTCAATTGAAGGGAAAATGATCAGATTCAGATCCGGTCCACCTGACATTAATTTTAATAAGTTTTTCGGATACTTTAATTAACTATTATTATACTATTCAAATTAAGTTTTATCAACAATTATCAATAATGATTTTCAATCTTTAAAAAGGATCATTATACTATAATTAAAATAAATTAAATTAAATTGATTTAATTTAATGAATTTAATTTAATTAATCAATTTGATTAACAGCCAGCCTTTCTCAAATGTACAGAAGGGAGGGATGATGATGCCGTAAATACGTATTAGAGGAGTATCAAACTTACACGCAAATGATCTTGAGAAAAAAATCACCAAATTTCTATTTATTTATTAGAGCTATTGTTATCATCATTATTATTATTCATTAATGAAATGAATAAAAATTTAATTGAACATATTTTATCTCTGAGAATACTGGAATAAGAAGAATAATCGTAAATTCAACGAATACCCCGATACAAATCATATAGGCAATGTACAATTTACTCAATAGTAATAGCGCGATAGCGTAGTGGTTATTCAGATACTAAACGATTGATAAAA